GCCCCAGCTTTAACATAGCGGGTATCGTTACTGGGGTTACATACAGAAACCTGGAGAAGCTCCTAAACTCCTGATTTATTTAACAAACGTCCTCCAGTCAGGAACTCCATCTAGATTCAGTGGCAGTGGATCTAACAGTGATTTCTCTCTGACCATCAGTGGAGTCCAGACTGAAGATGCTGGACATTATTACTGTCAGAGTGTGCACAGTGGTGGTGGGTGCACACAGTGATAAAGAGTCGTACAAAAACCTCCGTCAGTCAGAGTCACAGTGACTGAACTGATGCTGCAGCTGCTCAAACACTAACACTCACTCAACTATGTAGATTTTCATATATATTTTATAAAATATAAATAATTGATTGTTTTCTAGTTGCTAAATTCATTAATCTAACAAACTTTATGTTATTAAATTCATCTAACACTATATCTGTGAGGTTCATAATGTGGCCGCATGTTCGTTTCATCATGTATCTGCAGGTGTTTTCATGGTTCACTGAGTAAAGTGTCTATTTCTTTTTTAAATGTGAGTTAAAGGCCTGATCCAAAGAAAGACCCGAAACAAAAATGACAAAAAAAGAACACAAAGATATTAAGTTACAATTGTATTTTATTTATTGAGTAAATATTAATAGAATCACAACTGAATGATAAAGCACACATTTAGTCTTGTATGAAGCACACAAAGCAGAGCAGATGCAGATGCGAGCGACTGAAGCTGGATGTGGAGAATGAAGGAGTCGCTCATGTGCTGTTAGTCTCCATGTGAGACATGAGTGAGAAGAGCAGCAGATCTACTCTGAACACTGCTGTCTCGTCACGTGTCCAGTGAGCGCAGGCTGGCCGCTCCGTGTGGCCTCACAGCTCACTGAGACGCTCTCCATCCACTCCTGCTCAGAGAGAGTCAGGCTGCTGCTCCAGCTGTACAGACCGTCCTTCTCCAGGAGCCCAGCGCTGCTCTCCTGAGACCTGCTGCTCCCGTCCACCTTCCAGCTCAGGCTCCAGTCTGACGGGAAGCCCTTGCTGGCCACACACACCAGTGTCGCTGTCTTCTTTGAGGAGATCTCTGCACTGGAGGGCGGCAGGACGCTCACTTTAGGACGAGTGACGCCTGACAAACACACAACAGTCAACTCAGTGAAGAAGAAAGCATTTCTCTCCTTTCAGCTTCAGAAAAATATATATGAACAAATACATAGTTTTACTAGTCATTTTTGCACGATTAAACAGCAAGTCACCTGAATAAATTTTTTCAAAGCCTGTGATCAGCAATGAAGGTTTGGTGAAATATATTGATTTGAAGAGACATTTTCATTATCAACTTCAGTGTTAATCACTTTTTTAAAGGCATAAAGGTTAGGTGTGAATAAATATAATAGCTGCAGGATTTCATTATCATTTCATGATTACAGTTTTTGATAACAGCAAAAGAAAATTGGGTATAAAATTTGGTTTTAAAAACAGAAAATACAGCTTTCGTCTGGCATGTCTACTATCACTGTAAAAATAATTTATTCAAATATGAAGAAAAATATAAATAAGCAACATTAGTTTTCAGTTAAAAAAATATATCTGCAGGCTTTACTTAAAAATTAACACACTCCAAAAAATGCTGGGTTAAAAAGGGACAAACCCAGCTATTGGGTTGTTCTAACCCAACGGTTGGGTT